GTCGGGGAAATATTTGCGATTTTTACTGCTACACACTGTTGCCAATTTCTTTTGTAATACTGCAGGAAATGCATGTTTACTTGCATGAAGACCAATAGAATACATTGCAAATAGAAGTCCAGTGAAAACAAACCGTTGGCAACTTCAGTATTGCAAACACAAGGAGAACTACTACACATACATATAGCTATTACGTTTAAAGAAATTTATAACCAGTATTGAATGTAAATGATGTAAACTCGGATGATTTGACACACAGAAGCATTTTCGCATTCCACTCTGCATTAGTTTGTAGTCCCGAAAAGTTCAGTATGTTAAGAATTAAGGTACATATTAGAATAAGAAAATTGTTTATGGAAGTACCTACTTGTCTGCTATCGCATATTTCACCCACGCCCAAATGACGGGTCGTCAACAATTTATTCAAAATCAAGGATTTGTGCCAGTTTGCCTTACCGCACGGCAGTGCCTCTGTATATGGACACTTTAAAATTAATCTATTCACGGTATTAACAACATCAGTCGTTTCATACAAATAAATGAAAGCAAACCAGTCAATCAATGTAAGTCTGAAGATCGTATATCAAAAGCTTGATAAATATTCAAATTACTGTCAAGAATGGCAGATAATTTTACGATCATCGTGTATTGTAGCTTTATAATTTCTGTATTATTACAAACGAAAACAAATACAACCCATAAATACTATTATCAACAGAACGTTACTGATGTTCACCTTATTAAGTGCCTCGTTAATTACTTTCCCATAAAAAAGAACTTTCTTTAATGAATACGCCCGTAAATAACGATATTAATTTTTATTAGACGTTTTTAAGTCGAATAGCGGTAAAGTATCGGTTTCATTCCATCATCCAACAGATTGGAATCTTACACTTTACACGGATATTAATTTGTCCTTAACGTTTATGGAGGAAATAATAATAGGCAAGAGTCTTAAAGCACCTTTGCCTGGGCATCCTCCGATGGCTAATCAAACACTCTTATGCAAATCAAGCAAATAGTTATACAATTTTATGAGCGACGACTATCGTCAATTTATCACTCCTTATATGGGGGAACAAACATGCAGAAATTCCATCCGACCATTCCAAGCCCCGCTATGTCGACACACCATATTTTGCAAGTTTATCATTGCTTATGCTAACTTCATGAAGTTATGGGGCAGGCCCACTACACAAATACATGTTACACCATTTATAGACTTCTGAATGGCAGAACTTCATAAAAGGTGTAACATTGCAGAGATACGAAAACTAAAATAGATGTGCATAACAATGAAAAAGTCGGTACAAGTAAGTAAACAACTGCTTTATGACGGCATGTAGATAAGAGAGGAATGCCAATTTTGATTAGAAATGAGAGCAGAACAGCTTTTATCGCAAACTCACATAGATAACTTTTAAACATTCGTGATTTTAAACACATTTTCATTACTGCCGTTGTCAAACAGATACTTTGATTAGACCATACATGTTTCAAATCAACTCTCGCTTTCTGTCATAAGATACTTCATAATATACTTTGAGATGTCGATTGCGATTACTCGGAACCTAAGTTATTTAGTATTGATACAAGTTGGTTTACAAAAATTCTAAATCTTAATCGTCTATTCGCATTAAGTTGTTGAAATCAAAATAAATCTGTAGTGTAGCCGTCGGCAGCGACGGAGTCGACGCGCGTCTGGGTGTATAAAATCGCCAAGGACATATTTATCTGAGAGGAATGCGTAGAATAAACAATGTTGTACGCTATTTCGCGTCCGTTCGCCGCCACGCGCCGCACCCTGCGGTTCACACACTAACAAACGTTTTGTAAATCTTCTTTGCAAATGATAGAAGTCCCATTGAGTACCTAATCAACTTTAAACTTAAATAGGTTATGTGAACAAATAAACTTATTTAAAACGCCCTTCATTAAAACCAAGAAACATTGTAAAATGCCCAGCCCCTTCAACGTTACGCATGAGGGGACTCAGAACTTGTGCAGTGCGTGGGAAGAACATACTTGGGTTACACAATCTTGTGAAGATACCTTCGTTAAACACGATTGATTTTATATTCAAAATCTTTCTATGAACGCTGATTAGATTTTTATATAATTATGGGGTATCGCTATTCGTCGCAATTAACGGTAAGTATAATGAAGTCATGCATCGTTTGTTTAGTCCATTTTAATTGTGATTCATGTGATATTTTTAAGGTTATTCGTGATATTGACAACAATTCCCTTTGCTTGTGTATGAATCCAACATCTAATAAAGTATTAAATTAAACCAATTCAAATGGTGTTATAAAACATTGTTTTCCAACAAAGATATATGAATAAGGAACAATTATATATTATAAAATTAGCCACAAGCTACCCAACCACAGATATGCAGATCGCATTGAAACATTCCAACGCGAGCATCCTTGTATTTTCCACATATAATTTGCCAGCACCTATCTAGGTACTTACACATAGACGACTAACGCAGATTTCACTTGCAACATAGAATTATGTATTAACAATCAACTGAACGCAACACTCTGGTATGCAACAGAACAATGTACCTGCTTAGTGAAACTGCATTCAACCGATACAATTAAAGTAATAAACACTGGCAAACACAGGTATAAGTTCCCATTCGCTTGTTAATCGACGCTATCATTGTCTTTGCCGCTTCCTTGCTTAACGACACAATGTGTAGTTTTTCCAGAGTTCACAATGCGTAGCTGTCGAACACTTTTATATGGTTTACTTTTTGTCTCCATCTATTTATGCCCCTCATCTAGTTACGTATCACACTTGTTGTCGAGATCTGCGAAAACCGCAAAATGCTTATTCGCACGCAACATCTCGTTACAGAAGCATTTGAGAAGCCACTTATTACCGTAAATGTATAGTTTTAGCGCCCAACGACACTATTAACTTCTATATCTTGTTAAATTAGTAAACATTCATAACAAACGAAGATCTCAAGTCCTCAAAATGCGACCATTACATCTGCATTAAAAAACTAGGTCTACTTAACTGACAACATTTTTATGATAGGTAGGCAAATAATTGCATTCTCCCAAAGGCACAACTTGACTTGAGGGCACATTTTTCATAGTACGTTTAGGTTCCGTATAAGGTTAATAGCGTCGTATGCGTCCGAGACGTGGCCGGGTTATTTTTAGCATTAATAAATTGGCTTAGTGGCTCCGTTTATTGTGTGCGCGTTTCGCACAAGTAGATGTCGACGTTGGAGTGACATCCGCGGTACCTCCACTCTACACACAAATTCTAGGTCAATTTTGACTGGCGTTGCTCTTTTACTATGCAGTGTTTTTCAAAACAATGCTCTCAGCAGTTAATTTTAAGGCAGTAGCTGCTTTTCCAAATTTTGCATTAACTAGTTAGGTACTAGTTGTAAATTTTTATATTGTTTTTGTCTTTTCCTATTAAAATACACTGTGTATGTAGTGTTTCTACAACGATTCAAAAATCCATATCTTCATGTTTGAAATTTTACCAGGTTGATAACCAATGTCTTAAATATCATATTGTAAAGTCGACTGTACGGAATGCAGTTTGGCAAAGGGTTCAATAAAAATACCACTTTATGTTTCCTGTGTCAGCAGTGAATTTTATTGTGGTGTCAATGTACCGGGACCAGATTCTTGTGTGCTTTCTTAACTTAAATCAATTTAATCCACATTAGCATTTATGCAATATTTGTTCAATACTTAATTCGATTGTAAAACTGAATATTATCGAGATCTCCGGAATCGACTATAAGTCTGTAATGGCATACAAAATAACAATTTATTGTATGACTTCGTCTCTCCGGCTTAAACATGAACTTCTAAGGTTAGTATTCAATGTTCACTTGTTTATGTTTGCGACATGACTTCTTGTAATTAAAACTGCAATCATTTGATACAATAAATCCGCATATTAAATGTTATTCTGTTTTTTCTTTGCGTAGGTACACCACTCTTGATAAATGTTATTACTTCAACATGCAACAACACCATGTTTTCTGCTCACTTGTAATGGACCAGAACTAGACATCCCTCCTGCTAATTGTTACAGCGTTTAGCATCACCAAGTGATAATTGACCGGTTTTAACTGTAACCATGCATTTTCAAGTGCAGGTGTAGTTTTTAAGGTTAACTTTTAAAACAATAGTGCAGGTGTCAGTTTAACTATGGTAAATAGATACGGCTAGAGACATGATCGGTATTTAATAGGGATGTGTTGTGCAGCACCTGCAGCTTGGTGAGGTGGTGAAGGGGGGTGTGGGGAGACGGCGGGGTGGCGGGGGAGGGGGAGTGCGCCGCTTTAGAAAGGCGCGACCATCGCCGCAGGCCCGGGCCGCATTCTACGGCCTGTCATTCACACCGCGCAACTTGCCTATGCATTGCATTCCATCTCCCACCGCGTTCTCCACGCATCGGCACCATACACACACGCGCACCTTACGAAACCACCGACCGCACCACCATCTAGACAACATGCCACATTCATTCTTAACACATAAACGCTTCATCGAATTATTTCTGCGCCAGTTCAGCCACTAGCATTGCTATGAACCAGTTCCGTGGCCTCATTAATCGCGTACTGACTGCTCCGTTCACCAAAAATGAACCCATACGAAAACAAGACCACAATACACATTCCAAAGGATAACAAATGATAACCATAATTTGTGTTTAGCTCATTTGTTGTCACTAAATAGTGGAATGTCGTGTGAAATCGAGGTTGTCGCGCATTCTTACCACTAGAGAGCAGCAGCGTCGCGGCGACGGAACAGTTTGTTTTTCACGATTTATTCTACTTTAAAGTTACATTTAACACTTTTAACTTTAACACAACTAATTAATTCACGTGCACTCCCGATATTTACGTCCACAACACTCAAATTCAATCAGAAAACGTTAGAAATCGCATTGGAATGTAAAGTTTTGACATGGGGCTCTTACGGGTTAACACTTCTCTTTGGAAAACCTACCTGTCTCGCGGGTCGATCCACGTCGTTTTTCTACTGTTGTGGTCGATGAAATACAGTTTTCCGTCAAAGTCCCTCGCGTAATCCCATCCGTCGGGCAAGGGTATCTCACCGTTTCGTCTCCTTGGCATATTTCACTGATTAAATCCATTCAAACGAGTAACGAAGCACACTCGCGAACTAGCTACACGGCCATGTTGAATACCTCATTACGAGGTGTGACGTCACGCGGGATCGGCCAATAGCGGCGAAGGGCCCCCACGATGGAATGCGGCGCGTACGCGAGCGCGAACACACGAAGCGGTTCCGTACGTCACTCGAGCGATAGCAACGATACACGCGACCGCACCACGCGACCCCGCGTCGCCGACTAAACCCCGCCGACTCGCAGCCACGTTATCACCGCACATGATAATATTCACTACCAGCACCTACTGTCTAAATGCATTCCTCGGCCATCTAATGTTTACATTACATGGTCTACTAGTGCCGACTGACTGATGCTATGTACGGTGCGGAGACTGTAAAACGAACTGGCAATGTAAGCAAAAAGTAGGTAGGTACATACCCATTCAATCTATTTACGATTCCGCTGTATAAATATGTATAGACGGGCGTGTATACGTATAGATCGCATTCCACAGCGTATGTACGTATATACAAGCATACATACAAATTACTGATACAACTTACACCTATATAAGTACGTTTATCTGTTGCTATATTAATATTGTTGATATTATATACTTACAAGTTAATATATTGTGTTATGATTATCTTGTAGTTTTATGTGACCTACTATTTTTTAACAGGTAGGTGTAAGAACTTAGAAACAAGGTTACAACTGACATTCCTTCGACGGAAGCGATAATTTAGCGTCAAAAGTAGGCAAGTAACAAGCTTTGCAATTTTTGAGTTAAAATTATTTAAATACGCAAGACACTTATAACTGTCGGTCGTACAATATTCTTTCTTTTCTAAAAAGAAAGAACGAAATTATAACGAAATTTAACTAAAATACTATACAGACTAATAGTACGAAGTACGAAGACGCATAGTTTATCAGCATTCACAAAAGCCATGGATGTATTCCACTACACCGTCTTAAATATCGTAAACTTACAATAGACACTAATTTATCTGTACATTTGTTATGTACTTGTTTTTCAAAACTCTAACCTTACTGTGGAATTTTATTTATTTATTTGTATCTTTGGAATTTTATTTAATAAATCGGTAACTATTAATATGCCAATTGGTTCCATTAAGATTATTTTTGTTGTTAATGAATATTCTATACAATACACTATTAAGTAATCAAGCGAAATCAAGATTTAGAAAACCGATTAATGCAATAATTCTATCACAATAGGTACAATGGAATGTTTACGCTGGTTGAGGATACCGATGCGATGGTGGTAAAGAGTAGAGCCTAGAGACTGTGACCGAGCCTAGCTACGGTGGCTAGCCCAGTTACGAGAAGTAGTAAAGGAGTGGTTTTAAATCAGTAAAAGTCTGACACTCCCTGTCGCCTCACCCATGGCGGGAGATGTCATTAGATGTATTTCTATAAAAAAACCTAGATACGAATTACTATGGTAAAGTTTAGCTATAATGGTAGATCCTAGATATAAAGCGATGTTAAGGCCTGGCAATAGTGCGGAGCGAGGGGGACTGGGATGCCGTCTCCTCCTTTTGCGAAGCAGTGATGCTAGCTAAGGAGGAGGAGGGACGCGTGAGGCAGCGAAGCGTTGCCTCCTCGCAACCCAGCCATCGTAAAGGACACTCCGGGCGTCGGGGATCGCGGGACGATCTCCGGCCACCGTAAGCGCGGGCTTGCGGACGGCGACCATGGGTGACAGACACCTCAAAGAGCCATCAGATCACCACGGATGGGGCCCAATAGGGCTGATGCCGATCCGAAGTCGCGGAGAACCTAACGGGTTACCGGGGCACCGGCTCGAAGTGCAGGAGAAGGAACGGGGTGGTTTTCAGTAAGAATCTGACACTCCCTCCCGCCTCACCCAGGCTGGAGAAGTCAATCAATGATTTTCCCCCCTTAAAAAAAAGCCTGGCAATGGCGATTAGAGTCTAGCTACAGTGATAGAACCAAGAGATAGTGATAAAACCAAGAGAAGGTGGTAGAAAATAAAAACGATGGTGGAACTTAGAGACGCTGATTGAACCCAGAGATTGTGGTCGAACCTAATTACGGTAGTAGAATCAAGGCAGGTAGTTTATTTTAATAGAATGAGCGGGCTCCGCCAGTGAAGAATCTACCTACCCTCTTACCGATTACGACGACGTAATATTTATCGTAGGTACGTTACGCACATAGTTAGGTACCTACTTACTAACTACCCATTCTTACAATGACGAATGACAGTCTCAGAACAACTAACGTGGACAAGCCTGAAGGAATCCCTAAATAAGTAAGTAGGTAGTACCTATGTACAATTTTAGAACTTTACCTACAATTGAAGTATTAAAGACCTAATCGCCTTGAGGAATAAATATTCCCTAATCTCCTCACCTGATGGATCAGGAAATGCTCAAGTCGCTACCACGAGTCAGTCGTAGCTTTGCAGGCCTCCCATTGGTTGGACTGACCACAATATCGTCAGAGTCGCGGGGAGCCAATGGATGTAAGTGGCGAAGATGTAGTATTCAATGGTAAGCACCACGGTTTGTTATGGCTTTTTCTGAACAAGTGCTGACAGTGAACATCTTGTCACAGAAGATGATGATCTCGTCACCTGAAAGAAATTTTACGTTTCATAGGTATTTTTTTTTGGGTTGGATAATCATTCAATGACTTCTCAAACCCTTACTGGCTAAAAACCACCCCGTTCCTAATCCTGCTCTTCGAGCCGGAGCACCGGCAACCCGTTAGGCCTTCCGCGGCTCCGTATTGGGCATCAGCCCTACTGGGCCCCATTTGTGGTGGTCTGTTGACTCTTTGAGGCGAGCGCGGAACGCGACGCGCCGTACGCATGGGTCTGGTTCTGGTCTAGCGAGGTACCTACCCTTGTACGTTTCATAGGTAGGTACCTATTATTACTTGAAGAATACAAGTATACAACCTACTTTTTATGACTGTATTTATAAATATTTTTTAAGGTAGGTACACATTAAAATAACATCACAATCATAATACATTTTTACAGGTAAACCTTCATACCCACGCATGCGCAATACCTAGATAGGCAGGTACGTGTTTGCTCCCTTATCGACTGACCAAAATAATTAGTACCTAAAACGGAATTTAGAGTAAGTTCCCATGTTAATAAGGTCCTACCTGGTTATACTACCTAGATATTAGCAATTTACGTAAATAGTAACCTCTTATAGAATGTATCACGAAAGTTATAATATAAACATAGTAACATTACGTAATAAATAGGTAGGTAGTAACTTACCAAAAAACTGGCTTCCCAATTCTTATATCGCAGTTTCCATCACTTAATTAGTTGCGTAAGTAATTGGACGCTAGACAAATTAATTAAAAATCAATTTAAGACACAAAAAACAATTGAAAATCGACGCCATGCTTATATTATATTCAAAGACACTAAGTTTTGTTTTTACGGACACTAGCTTCAATTCATTTGAAATAAGTAGCTAAAAAGCAAGTTAATAGCAAGTAAGCACATTTGTGGGAGCAATCAATTCAATACAAACCACGACACAACTAATAAGTAAACACCAAAATCAAAGTTCTCGCACTTCTCGCGCATTAAAAATTTTGCAATTTGAAATTATCGCACATTTTTTTTCTAACGAATCCACAATCATGCAAAGACCATTATGCTATTCAGCCTACTGATAATTTTACGTTGATCAAATTAATAGTGTTTCCTATACAGTCGTCTAAAAAAAATATTTATCATAAGGATACTATTAAAGGTCATAAATAACTCATAAGAACGAGAATTATGGGTATAATAAAAGTTATTTTATAAATAGAAATATTTACTAATTCTATGCTTAATTATGTAGATACAATGACTACAATATCGTTACTGCTTTGTCTGTCTTACGTCATTAAACAAGGATAGAGTATACTCTATACGCAGTATAGCTATATAAGCGTATACGCTTATAAATGTATTTTTGCAATATGGAACGCGGCAGACAAGTTTTTGTCACATCAATGTCAAATGTCATGTGTTGTTGGCAGTTTTGTCAACACGTATTTCACCATTCGTAAGAGGATTTAATTTTCCATTACAATAATTTGTCCATATCTAAAGTGAAATAGTTCGAAATTTAAAATATAAAACACAATGGCTACAAGTGATAGTGAGGACTTTGAGAGTGCAGATGAAGGTCATGGAAGTCCAGACAAGAAACAAAGAAAGAAACGCTTGTCCTCTTCAAATTACAGCGACAACGCATTAGAAACAGAACAAAAAGTTTCGAATACTCCTAAAGAATCTAGTAATGTTAAACATGTTGAGGATAAAGTGGTATGTATGTTGTAAACATTACAAAGTATAGACAAGAAAGTCTAAGTATCTAATTAGTCAGAACCCAACCCTTGTTAATGCACTTGCTTTGAATCATCACTCTATTTAACAACTTCATAATATTTGTTTCGACCATTTACTTGTTGTGTTACATCAGAATTTTCCGTCTAATTAGAAAGTTACTCTTTTTTTACTCTCAAATTTTTGAAGTAAAGATCAAGTTTAAGTTATCATTTAAATACTTCTTTATTGAATACATAAACATAGGTTTTAAAAGTACAGATTACAAATATATTGTGTGACATCATTTTATAGCATAAGCTGGTAAAAGAGCTGACAGATCACTGATGGTAAGCAATCATTGCCCATGGACACCTGAAACGCCAGAGGCTATACGATTCCGTTACAGGCCTTTTGGAGATTAAGAGTTTAAGGATTGTTGGGGATTCAGGGAATAGAGAGTTTGGAGCAGGGGGGCGGGTAATTTGGCCTCTGGTAAGCTCTCTCATATGACGAAACACAATGCAAGCATTGCTTCATGTCAGTTTTCTGTGAGACCGTGGTATCACTCTGGTCAAGCCGGCCAATTCGTGCTGAAGCATGGCTTTCCCACACTTTAACTACTACACAATAAAATATTAGAAATAGCTGACATTATTCTATAGCCACAAGATTCCAGTGACATTATCTTATCAAGAATATAAATTGTATTAAATAATCATAAATTATAGCAAATATTTTTATGACATAACAACATCCTTTAATTCAAGATATTTAAACAACAATCATACCAAAATAGTTTTTGTTAAATATTGGATAAAATATTTAATTAATGCTACTGATATGACCTCGTGATGTTCATTTGTTTTGCTAATTGATTTCGAACAGCTGCTACATAAGGAATGTTGCTATATTTTACTTTAGACGGATTAACACGCAACCTTCACGGATGATTTCACATGTTAAATAGATAATTTATAAAGGCTGCTATGTATTTAAATATTTCCTGTGTTGTTTCGCTTAAAACACAGAAATTTAATGTGGTCTTGTGTATAAATTATTAGTTGCCTCAATTATAGTAATATATAATAATAATAATAAATGCAATTTATTTCTCTTTATTGGTCTTCTATAAATTATGATGACATTTTTTCGAAAATTTTAATTTATACTTTGTAAATTTAATAATTCCTAGTTTCTATTTATTATTATGTTTTCGGCTTAGATACGTAACTGTTTGACGAAGAACTCAACTAGTTCAAGCCATGCTAGAGGCTCATATTCATGAGCAGCATTCCGCGACCGGCGACACGGAGACTGTCGCGTTGCCACTGACATGCACATGTCTAGCATGGCTTGAACTAGTCAAGTTCCTCGTCATACAGTTATGTGAGTAACCCGAAAACATAATAATTAATTAGTATATCTCACAAAAGTTTAATATAATCATCACTAGTTTATGCCCGTGGCTTCGTCTGCATTCCCAAGGGATAAAAGTAGACAATAATGTTATTCTAGACCATAATCATCCCTTGTTTCAAATTTCATCTAAGCACACAACAAACAAGCACACAAACTGACGAACTTTCATATTTATAATATTAGTGAGATGAGATTTTTCTTTCCAGAAAGAAACCGATGGTTGGGATGACTTTGAGATTGATGACAATGAAGCCGAACCCGCACCTGTAAAGAGTAATGCAGAGAAGCAGAATAAAATAGAAGATAAGCCTAGCAATGTAAAGGAGAGCAAAAAGTCGCAGGATACTGGCTGGGATGACTTTGATGATTGGGGAGAGGATGATACCTCGACCAATGTACAAAAGGTAATGTAATATTAATAGAAGGATGATGCCTCGACCAATGTACAAAAGATAATATAATATTAACTCGTCGAGTACCGGTTTTATAGACACAATTAAAGAACAATAGGTGACCGCTTGGTGTTTGACAGTTTAATAGAAAATATTAGATCATTTTAAATAAGTTATTCTTAGCTTGTTTCCTTTATAGTTTGTTTTCTTAAGTTAAACTGCAACTCCCAATTTTTTTAGCAGCACATCAAGATAGAATTTTTCTGCATAGTTATGTAATATAAATTTTTATCCAGTCTAGAAGTAGGTACTTCTGAAGAAAAAATTTAAATTGTTGTTTCGGGTCTGAGTGTCATGTGTATGTGATATTGTATGTTTGTGAACGCACCAACGACACGATAAAATCCAAGTATGGGGCTATGCTTTCGAAAAAAAAATACACTTTATTTTTTTAAATAGACAATAGACAGTCCCTAAAAGTATTGGATCTTATTGTTTGATAATTTATAACTTAAGTAGTCAAGGCCCAAAAATAAAACCTTAAAATTACAGCGTTTTGCTGTAATGAAACTATTCACACAGAATTTGATGTAGTCTAAAAGAAACCATTCGCTATTCACAGCCAGAACCGAAGCCAGTTCAGGCTAAACCGCAGCCAGCTCAAAGCCAAAAACCAGAGCCTAACATTCAGGAGGTGACAGACAGACTGGCTGCAGCGTCCACTGGTGGTGGTGGGTGGGGGTGGGGCTGGAGTGTGGACTCCTTGCTGAGCAGCGCCACTGCTGGTATCAGTACTATCACCAGTCAAGTTTCACAGGTAACGTTCGCACTATTTCTATTTTATGGTAATAATACAAGTGACTTATTCATAACTCTCTTTTATACAGAACAACAGATTTGATTTTGTCAACAACTTTGGCCTCTAGTGATTGATTAATAAATTTTTGTATTTACTACATTCTAATGGTAATTGGTGGACATTGTTGTGGGTTGCATTATTGCCCAAAATGTATCTTGTGTAAACTATGTAGTTAGTAAGACTTTATAATGTAACCGTTTACTGTTCCTCTTAACAAAATAAATAATAAAATACAAATATTTGGTTCAAAGACTTTGAAGTAGTTATGTTGAAAGATGACACTGTGAAGCGATAGTTAAAGCATAGTCATCTGGACTATGCTTTAACTATCGCTTAGAATTTTGTAAAACTTAGTAGTTATCCATGATGGTTAGACTGTTTTCATTCTTATATTTATTCACTAGCGGACCCGACAGACGTTGTCCTGCATATAATAATAATAATATAATAATAGGTATAGATAAATAACCTAGATACCGACTGCAACGCCATCTGCCGGGCTGATTTGTGAATCTAAACCATTCCCAGATCCCCTTGAACGCACACAAAAAATTTCATCAAAATCTGTCCAGTCGTTTGAGAGAAGTTCAGTGACATACACACTCACAGAAGAATTATATATATAAAGATTAGTAAATCAAGGTATGATCTTACTTTTCCAGGGCATATCAACAGTCTTAGAAACGGGAATAGGTGCTCCTGACCCAGAAGAATTAGCCAGAAGGTCAGTAAAGACCAATGAGACCAAAACCGATAGATCTGCGCCTGCACCGGAAGCTGACAAAAGGCCTGAAACAGGAAGTGAACAGGAAGCCAGTGCTGGAGACGCTGCATTCCCATTCGGAAGTCTTTTATCTGGTGTTACCAAGTTTGTTGAAACTACTGGTGAGGAAATGTTTCATAATTATAAAATGTGTAACATAGCAGTAAAGATAAAAAGAAAATAGTTTGAGCCATCAGCATTAATTGAACAATTTTTGCAATTATTGAAAATGAAATATCCTGGCAACATAACCTCACGCCTTTTTATCCCCGACGGAGTAAGCGGAGGTGTACATTACGGCACTTAATTCCACTGTACAATGTAACACCCACTTTTCACTATTTATGTTATGAGTTCCGTGTAATAGGAGATGAGATATCCTGGCAATTAATAAAAAGGCAGTTGATGACTTCTATCTAATAATATGTAGAAAAACATACGCTCCGTTTTTAAAGTCCGTGAAATAACTGAAAGTATTTGCGACAGACATAATAAAAATAAAACAAAACATTTTAGCCTTTTCATTGTATATTTTACTAGCTACTACCGCGTGGTTTTTTTAACCACTTTGCTCGGCTCCTATTAATAGCAGCGTAGTGTTTTATAGCCTATAGCCTTCCTCGATATATGGACTATCCAACACAAAAATAATTATTCAAATCGGACCAGTAGTTCCTGAGATTAGGGTGTTTAAACAAAAAAACAAACAAACAAACAAACTCAGCTTCAGCTTTATACCTATAAGATTTTACAATTGATTAAATACCTAAATATAAATGACTGCTTCTAATTCCAGGTACAAAAGTAATACACGGTGGCCTAGACACTTTAGAAACTATAGGCAAGAAGACGATGGAAGTTCTGCAAGATGGTGATCCTGGCCTGGCCAAGAAACGGGCCATGCTTGGCCTGGGAGCTGGGGATAAGCCAGTCCTTTCCCAGGTGCTGAGAGAGGCCAAGGCTAAAGCTGAGGAGGAAGATAAAGTCAGAGAGGAGAAGAGAGAGGCCAAAGAGGTGCATTATGAAAACCTGTTTGATGATTTTGAAGGTAATGGCATCCAATTTAAATTTTTCCTCTTGTCTTCTTTAACTCGTCGAGTACCGTATTTATAGACACAATTAAAGAACAATAGGTTGCGGTCACCGGTGACCGCTTGGTGTTTGACAGTTTAAGTACCATGATAACATACCATACTTAAATTAAAAAAATAATGATTTTCCCGCCTTGGGTTATGCGAGAGAGAGTGTCAGACTCTTACTGACTAAAAACCACCCCGATCCTTCTCCTTTACTTCGAGCCGGAGCCCCGGCAACCCGTTAGGCCTTCCGCGGCTCCGTATTGGGCATCAGCCTAGTAGGCCTACCATATTTGAAGCTAACCAGTGTTTCTGATACTTTTTAAATGCTACTGGTAGACTCTCCAGTTATTTTGAAGACTCCAAACGAAATTAAAGTGTAAAAAATTAGGTATTATTAATTTACTAGATGACTCAACAGATTAAGTCCGCCTATTTCACAGTGTATGTTCAATAAAGTTTAAAAAATAAAAAACAGATGTCATTATCACGGTATTCACGGTTTTCACGGTAGAATTCTCGTGCAGACTATAATGAAAATTAAATAAAACTGACTAATGGGTAGCCCTTACAGTACTGCACAATCATCTACTCGTTTAATTGTTGGTTTATTTGTACAATTCCAGGCCTAGTTCACTTAGAAGCGCTAGAGATGTTGTCCAGACAAGTCAGTATGCGCATAGAGGAGCGGATACGTAGTGTAGACCTAGAAAAGAGGCAGGACATCAAGGAGACGCTGCAGCAAGTCGCTGGTAAGATTATTTTTAGGCTCTAAACATAATATTAAACTGCGATTGCCGTAAGACGAGGTAAATAGAATTTGAGGGGTGATAAACATAACATCACGCCTATTATCCCCGAAGGAGTAGGCAGAGGTGCACATAGAAGTAACACCCACTTTCCACTATTTATGTTATGAGTCCCACGTAATAGGGGGTGAGCCTATTGCCATATACCTGACACAATTCCAGACTCCGCTACTACTAAGATTTTTAAAAACCCAGTAATACTTTGCCGGCCCCGGGAACCGAACCTGAGACCCCTCGCCGGGCAGTCGCACTTGCGACCACTCGGCCAACAAGGTAGTCATAACTGTTTTTTTCATCGGGACGGATCATCTGATGGTAAGCATTCGGCGCCGCCCATGGACACCTGGAACACCAAAAGCGTTGTAAGTGCGTTACCGGCCTTTTGGTATTAGGGATTTGAGTATTGTTGGGGATTCAGGGATTGGGGAAGGGGAGCGTTATAAGTAATCCTATGATTTCTGCCGGCAGAACTGTGTGAAATGCCGGAAGAAGATGATGATTACGAGGAATCTCCAAGCGAAGATCTGTCCAAGCCGGACGCCTTCCATGAACGGCTCCAGACTGCTACACAGGACTTAGGACTCAAGCTGCAGTTCCAGGCACTGGTCAAGTAAGTTGATTTAACTCGTCGAGTACCGTATTTATAGACACAATTAAAGAACAATAGGTTGCGGTCACCGGTGACCGCTTGGTGTTTGACAGTTTAAAAGAAAATATTACAATTGTCAGTCAGAAATTATATACATTCATTGAGCATAGGGATTAGGAATAGGAATACTTGTAAGGAATAGACCTAATCCCTTTTTGTTGTTGTCGCGGAGAGCGTAGCGGGTTACCGGGGCTCCGGCTTGAAGTGCAGGAGTAGGAAGGGTGTGGTTTTTAGTCAGTAAGAGTCTGACACTCCCTCCCGCCTCACCTAGGCGGGAGTAGTAATTCGATGATCCCCCTGATGAAGTAAGAAATTATTCAGTGAACAGAGAAAGAGATTCTGTCGAATTGATACATATTTTTTACATACTGGCTGTGGGGTATTCTGATAGAAACTTAGTTTTTCATAGTTTTATTAATTTATCATTTCATTTACACCATACAGTAGACAATATTACAGAACACAACACATCGCAAGCATGAGGTACATAGGTACTGCATATGCCTTAAGAGATTTCTTCTTGCAGATATTTTCCTGCTACTGGAAAAGGAATATAAACATTAAACACAACGTAAAGGTTACATGCAACAAAGACAAAAAAAGTACTAAAAGAAAACTTAATAACTAAAATGACCGAAATATAATAAAATATATAAACGTTACTATAAAAATAGTTATTTTTATTTCTTACTAGCTACTTCCGCGCGGTTCCACACGCTCTGCTCAGCTCCTATTGGTCGTAGCGTGATGTTTTATAGCCATCCTCGATAAATGCACTATCCAACACAAAAATAATTATTCAAATCAGACTTGTAGTTACGGAGATTAGCGCGTTCAAACAAACAAACAAAAAAACAAACTCTTCTGCTTTATATAAGAGTATAAGATTGTAAACCCAAGATTCAACAGATTAGCTAAGCTTATGATCACTCAACCTAATACCAATTAAATTATCTCCACACCAACTAATCGTCATGATTACCCCTTTCTAATTTCCAGGCAATACACAGAAGTCCTAACCTACCTATCATCACCGGAGGCTGACTCAGTGAAGTCTGTGTACAAGCGAGGAGTGTCGAGCCTGGCACAAGGAACTGCTCTATCAGTGGAACAGTACCATAAGGCCGCTGAGATGCTCCTCGTTAAGACTCGAAGATCCACTGCTGATGAGGCTGATGCGTTGACACAGTAAGTTAAAATATTTTTAGAATCAAGGCATGTTCTCTAGTAATGAAATTGTTACTATAGTGTGGCCTCTCACTGGCCTTGTTATCTTCTATATAACTACATTTGTTTTGGACGCTTCTAACGTCTAAAAATTAACTAAAACCCCTCTGTGGTTCGAAACTAGTAGAGCTTTTCTCAGTATATTCACGTGAGTAACCTGCGATTTTAGTTAATTGAGTATGTCTCACGATAGTTAATATAAAAACACGTCTAAAAATGTTGCCTATGTCTATCATACCAACCTCTTCTTTACAGACGTAATAATTGTATGTACTATAAAACATTATGGCGAATTATAATTTCATTTTAGAACATCTTGTTAACCATATTCTGCAAATAAATAATTTTAATTTGAAAAAAGGCTCAGTGTAAAAGACAATTTCATATTTACTGTACTAAGAATTAAATCTTCTTCCTACCCTCTCTCTATTACGAAATCTCTCTTTCCTTCCTTAATCTCTCATATCATTTAAATTCTTCTATTCCAGAATGACAGTGGTGCTTACAAAACACATCAGTGAGCTGGCAACACTCTTCACTGAGAAGCTGAACGCACTACCATCTGACAATAAGGAACAAGTCAACACATACATCACCAATATATTCCTTGAGGTAAGTTTTATGATATTTATAATGTGCTTTTGTAATATCGTCCTTATTTTGTGACGAATATGACCGAAAGTAAGCTACCAATCGCCCATTTCAATATCGGTTAAGGTACATATGTTTTATAACAACTATCGTGAGAGATACTGAATAAACAGCAAATCACGAGTTACTTACATATTATTATACTGCCGCCGCGGCGACGTCGCCGCGACCTCGCATGCTGCTCATGAGGAAGAGTCCCTTTGTGACTCGAAACTATCAGAGCTTTTCTCAGTATATGTATGTACGTGAATAACTCGTTATTTTTAGTTCATTCGGTTTAGATATGTTGAAAAAAGTAATTTAATAGAAATGTATGTTTAAAGCCACGTATGGAGTATCTAGTCCGAGTGGTACTTATAAGACCAAATGCTATAGGGACTTGTGACCTATTAACACTTTATAAAATAATTATACTATGCAAGTATAACCTGGTTTAATGTCAATACATAATTTTAAGGACACTCCCAATCTTCTATCATTGTTGAATCATATATTTAATTGTTTTCCAGGCCGGCAACAGTTCGACATACATACAGAATGCGTTCCAGTTAGCGTTACCTATACTACAAATAGGTGCTGTGTAAATTAAACAATTTTTGTATAATAAGTAGACACTGATCAAAAATTAAATTCCCTACTTAATAATAGATCATAAGCAACGATGCTGCTACGGTAAATAACTGCTTTCCATTAGACGGAATGTAGGCTCTAACTCAGCGTCTGTTAGCACTTATTTCCAAAATTCACAAATAATGTACGGTGTACCACAATAATAGTCACTAATAAGTGGTTGATATGAATAAAATATTATTCAAGTATATATTCCAAGTATAGTGAGGTGGTACCTATCCAAGAATAATTTTGATGGTGAATTAAATCTTAACTTTGTTCTACAATTAGCTAGAAAAAAACTCCTAAGCAATAATAGTAAATCAATCTGAGTAGAGCATTTTTGATCAGTGTTGTTTAGATACTTGTGATATTATAAAATGTTGTTATAAATATGTGTGGTTCAAAGTTTATTCCTACATGTTTGAGAGTTTAGAAAGGGAAGTTTTATTACAATCAATTGTTAGCTTTATAAAGATTAGCTATTACCAAGTGCGCTAATAAAGGCAAATAACGTATAATTTCTACCTTTCCACACTAATAAATATAAATTTTTACTTTCGCAAAATTCTTTATGTTGCGCTAAACTGCGCAAAATTTTCTTTATTGCGTTAAATTGCGCAAAATTCTTTGTTGCGCTCAATTGCGCAAAATTCCTTGTTGCGCTAAATTGGACAAAATTCTTTATGTTGCGTTAAATTGCGCAAAATTCCTTGTTGCGCTAAATTGCGCAAAATTCCTTGTTGCGCTAAATTGGGCAAAATTATTTATGTTGCGTTAAATTGCGCAAAATTCCTTGTTGCGCTAAATTGGGCAAAAATAACACTTAATGACGTATACATTAATGTTATGTACTATAGGCTGCTCTCTACTTTTATCTTTCTTGTAAATGACAATGACCAAATTTGTATGGAGCGTGGTGCCTTTTCATTTTTTCGCGGCAGTTGATCGGATGTGGAAAAACTGATGCAGAATAACATTACAAACAAAAAAATATATGGGGTCTTATATCAAAAATTCAGTCCGAACCGAGTTAAATCAGTTCAAAGATGTGAAAATAGTGCTATACTATTCCTCTTATTTTGTTGATGGTGACCGTATACAACGCATATTTCTTCTATTACACTTGTCAAAAATATTTTGTAATAAATGTTTATAAATGATTTCAAGGAATACAATAAAGCTTATTGTGGACTTTTTTACTTATTTTTTTTTTGTTTTCATTTTTTTTTGTTTTATAAGGGCTCGGAATCAGATTAAAGTGAACCATTAACTGGCCACTGCTGAAGTAAAAAAAAAAAAATTCGCTTGATTGGCTAGTGTGTTCACGTTATATGTTATGGTTTATGGCCTATGACAGATTTTAATGATCAATATCCTCTCAGTCGAAAACCCGCAAAATACTTTACTGAGCCCTATCATGAAATGCTATGTTTATCAGCTGCGGCGTCGGTAGCGGATTGAGTACCTAGCGGCAGTCGTCAAAACACGAAAAATTCATTTTTCTGTCTACTTCTCCCGTCTTAATTCTGAATAGTAACTACTCTAACTACAGTTAATACTTTAATCTACAGCTAGCATAAGATTCTGTACATAGACATCGTTTCATATAAAGTGATGCATTTCGAATGATCACATTATATGAAAAAATTATGCGCTCATCTGACGTATAGTCCATCACTTTACAAAGTCGACGATTTGCTTTCTTCAAAAAATTATGGTAACTACAAAGTAGATGAGTCTCCCACTAGGAGTCAACGGCAAAAAAAAAAATACTTTATTAGATGTTTGGACGGCTACAACTACTCAACCCACCAATGGTACCACAGCTGACACTCATGAAGCTTCTCGACACAACTCCTAGAAGCATCCTACAAGTTGTCGACTGAGAGAAAATAGCTAATAAAAATTAGCGACTGGCAATATGGATATATTGTGGTGTGATTTGGTGTTTCTGTTCCGGGCGTACAGTGGCGCGCAATTTGAAGTTAGGAATTGTGACAAAAATATGAATAATTTGAATAAAAAAACGAAAGTAAAATGTTTTACTCCAGCTCCTTTCAACGCTCATAACTCAGTCCAGACTGAGATTTCCATATATGAGCCCATAGACAATTTCGTTTGTAATGACATTCTAGATAATGTTTTCCATAAATCATCGACTGCCGCCAGAAAAAAGAAAGGCACCAATTTTAGTCAATGCCCTTTAAAACATTCCTTAATTTTTTGTAGTATTTTATCTAATTTAACTCTTCTTTGAACTCAGTAGTTACTTTACCCTCAAATGCATGCTAACAATTGATTATAATATTAACTTTATAATATATCACTTCTAATAAATTGTTCAAATCTTGGGTCTAAAAATAAAATGTTCATATAAAATACTTATATCACTAAATATTAATATATTATACGTGAAGAAATGGCGAATTTTCTCGAAAATCTATAATAAAAGTTTTATTATTTACCTACTATACTTATGTATATGAATATGTCTATTATGCATTTAATAGTAAATGATTTTATTAAGGTGTTGTTTTATTTGACTTTAAAATATCTACACACTAAACAAAGCGCCTATAATAAGTAGCTTGAATTATCATGAAGTAAAAAAAGAGTAACGAATGGAGTTTCTTACACGTTCTTCTCCATTCGAAAGTACATTTTGGAACGAGCACCTATCTTCATTAACAGACTATTATTTATTTTGTATTTGTTGACGTTTCAAAAGTATCAAATTAGGGTTTAATTGACATAAATTACATGGGACTCATTACATAAAATAGTGAAAAGTGGATGATACATGGTATAGTGGCTGTATGTGCCGTATTGTGCACCGCGGCCTACCCATCGGGTATGTCGCGGAGAACCTAACGGGTAACCGGGGCTCCGGCTCGACGTGCAGGAAAAGGAACGGGGTGGTTTTTAGTCGGTTAGAGTCTGACACTCCCTCCCGCCTCACCCAGGCGGGAGCAGTCATTCGATGATTTTCCCCCGTTAAAAAAAGCCTCTAGCCAAATGCCTAAACGCTTGACTACCGAGAGAGTAATGGAAAACTCAATGAATAAGGATGACACTGACGAGTGTCAAAATTTACGTCAGACCGATGTAATTTAGTTTTCTCTTCTATGTCTTTAGCCAAACGCCACTTTAGCGCTTATCTACAGAGAGAGTAGAAATCAAAATGTATGGGGATGATGTCAAAATTTACGTCAATTCCATGTAATTTGGTTTCCTATTCTACATGTAGACAAGCGCTAAACGGCATTTGACTCATAGTACTAGCCTCCAGATACGGAGCCTCGGAGGACTTAACGGGTTGCCGGAGCTCCGGCTCGAAGTGCAGGAGTAGGAACAGGGTGTTTTAGTCAGTAAGAGTCTGACTCTCCCTCCCGCCTCAAACAGGTGGGAGAAGTCATTCGATGATTTGTTCCCCTTAAAAAAGTCTCCAATGTCGTCGTGGCCCAGTGGTGGTTTAAGACGCTCGCTTCTCATGCATAAAAGTGCGGCTTCGAAACCTACCAACAGCAAGTACCTACCCATGTGACTTCTTCCGAGTTATATGTACTTTCTAAGATTATTTAGACACCACTGACAAACGGTGAAGAAAAATCTCGGCTTATAATTTTTAATTAAGTATTATTTATTTAAAATCGCCAACCCGCATTGAGCAAGCGTGGTGATTAATGCTCAAACCTTCTCAGTGTGAGAAGAGGCCTTTGGTCAGCAGTGGACATTCATATGCTGTTGATAATGATGATGAATAATATTATAACTGCAAATATAATATGAAATTAGACATAAAGTTCACTAGGCTTTAGGTTCATAATCCCTAAACTGAACAAACTGAATAATCGTTCAATAATAATAATATAGTGATGGCGGATTATAGCGAATATCGGCCATTGTGTCGACACCTGTTGCGTTTGTGCTTCTAACGAACGATGGGATAATATAGACATGCCTTTACATTATTTCGTACTACAGTTGCGCACGCGCAGCGATAGAAAATGTTGGGTTAAATTATTATCGACTGTTCTATTAGCATTCGTTTCAAGATTAACACGTTAAACGCCATGGGGGTCATCGGTAACCGGCGTTAGCGGAGGATTTACCTTCAACAGTTTTTTATTGGCAGTCAAAGTCTTAAGCATAAGTACTTAATTTGAGATTTCTGTTTGTTAAACTTTAAATTCATGTCGCTTTTACAAACTTACCTATCAGAATATTAAAATTATAAAGATACCTAGCTTTACAGGTAGATATTTTTCGTTTTTAAGCCCTATATAAATACAAAAACGATGTGATAGGATGGGCATAAAATTCCCACAGAAAATACTTAAATAGATACCCAAAACAAAACTAAACTAAAGTCACATCCACTCTAAGTCTACCCACAACAAAAGAGCACCGCACAATGGGCGGACTTGGTTGAGAACACATCTGTTCCTTTACAAAAGATGCAAGGGTTATTCCACAGTTTCGCTAAACGTTAGATTATAACCATGTCATGTGCATGATTGATTCAATAGTTAAACCTTTGGACACATTTCCCTTCCATCTCTTTCCATCTTTTTTTTTATGGCATAAGCCGGTAAACGAGATCACCTGATGGTAAGCAATCGGCGTTGCCCATGGACACCTGGAACACCAGAGGCGTTACAAGTGAGTCACCGGCTTTTTGGGGATTAGGAGTTTGAGGATCGTTGGGGATTCTCAAACAAGATTGGGGAAGGGGAAGGTAATTGAGCTTCCGGTAACCTCACTTACACGACGAAACACAACGCAAGCGTTGCTTCATGTCGGTTTTCTGTGAGGCCGTGGTATCACTCCGGTCGAGCCGGCCCATTCGTGCCGAAGCATGGCTCTCCCACACTTAAACATAATGGAGTGAGGTGAAGCGTGAAGCTCAAGACAGATCGCGATGGAGAACTTCAGTGGACGCCCTCTGCCCCATCTAGGGGACACAGGATAT